AAACTGAAAAACAAGAAATGGAAATCAAGCAAAGTGGATGGTCGCTAATATCAATTGATGGTATTTTGTTGAGAGTACATAAATTGAACCCACTGAAGGGATCATTGTATATTGAATTACCATCGTGTATAAAAAACAAAAAGGCTGTTGTAAATATTAAAAACGATGATCAACAATGTTTCAAATGGTCAATCTTATGTCATTACAATAAAAGAGTTAAAAGAAGTGATTGGAATGTTGCATATGTTGAATTAGAACAACGTTTGAACATAGATTTTTTTGGTATTGATTTTCCAACACCAATTGAACAAATTAATCGCTTCGAACGAAAAAATCCTACAATATCGGTAAATGTGTATGCGTTGGACAATAAAAACATTGTTTTTCCATTGCGTGTAACTAAATCCAAAACCGCTACAGATCATATTGATTTACTATACTTGAAAAATAATGAAACTAGCCACTATTGTTACATCTCAAAATTTTCAAGGCTTGTATCAAAACAACGCTCAAAAAGTAAACGACAAGAATATCATTGTAAACGATGTCTCAGCGTATTTAACGAGCAACCGTTATTAACTCGTGCGAGTGGGAAAGAGGGACTTAAAGAACATGTAAAAATGTGTGGAAAATTCAAGGAGGCTCGCATTGTTCTACCACAGCCTAACTCTGATCTTTCAATATTATGTTTTAAAAACACAAGACGAGAAGAAGCAATACCGTTAGTTATCTACGCTGATATGGAAAGTTTACTTGTTCGAACGATGGAACAAATATCGGACAAGTCTATGATTGTACAAAAACATAAACCAATGAGTTATTGTTTTTACTTAGTACGCAACTCCAAAATATTACCGCAAAACATGTGTCAGGGATTACCGGAGGAACCAGTAATGTATCGAGGACCTGATGCTGCTAAACATTTTGTATCAGCGTTGGTGGATATTGGAAAACAAGTATCAGATATCATGAAAATTAACATCGAGATGAATCCTCTAACTTCTGAGGAACAACATCGTTTCAATACCACAAAACATTGCGACTCGTGTTTAATAGAGTTTACCGATAAGTTAGTAAAAGTCAAGGATCATAATCATTGGACGGCAAAATTTCGAGCTGTTTTATGCCACAAATGTAATTTACAACGACGATATTCCGCATTCATACCAGTTATCATGCATGGTCTTTCAAACTATGACTCGCACATGATAATACCAGAAATGGCTTACGACAATAAAGACATTACTGTTATAGCACAATCCGAAGAAAAATATATTTCGTTCAGTAAGACAATAAGCGATTATTTTCAACTTCGATTTATAGATTCATATCGATTTTTGCAAGCGAGTTTGTATCAACTTACAACCACCTTGACTTTACCTGATTTTGCACATACATTAAATGTCTTTAAATCGTTGGAGTTGGTCACACGGAAATCGGTTTTCCCATACGAATACGTAGACAGTTGGGAAAAACTCGACGAAAATCAGTTGCCAACCCGCGAAAATTTTTACAGTTCCATTACGAAAAATACAGTATCCGAAGAGGACTATGAACATGCAAAAAAAATGTGGCAACACTTTGAATGCAAAACTATTGGTGATTATAGTGACAAGTATTTACTTGTCGACGTTATGGTATGTTGTTAATTTTTTTAGTAATTAACAATTATAAATACATTTATTTTTTAGGTACTTGCTGACATATTTGAAAAGTTTCGCGCGGAGAGTTTAAAAAATTATTCTCTGGATCCCACTCATTATTACTCATGTCCAGCCCTATCATTTGATGCTATGTTAAAATATACTGATGTCAACATTGAATTGATAACAGACCCAGATATGTTATTAATGTTTGAATTGGGTATACGTGGAGGTTTGACACAAGTATGTGTGATTATTAAAAATATAAAAATATGTTTAATAATATTTATAAATATATATATATATATATATATATATATTTAATATAGGTCAATCAGCGGTATGCTCGAGCAAATCATCCAGGTATCTCTGACTACAATCCCAATATTCCACATAAATATCTTCAATACCTAGATGCTACAAATTTATATGGAACAGGTAGTTTTTTTTTTAAAATAAAAAAAATTAATATTTGTGTAAAAAAACATTTGTTTTTTTAAGCAATGATGGAACCGATGCCACTTGGTAATTTTGAATGGTCAACTGTTACATTGGAGGAAATACTTGACACAGCTGAGGATGCTGATCATGGATATCTTGTGCAAGTCGATGTAGATTATCCACAACATTTACATGATTTACACAACGATTTACCATTTTTTCCGGTAAACGAGCGACCACCTCTACCGTCTGCCAAATACAAAAAACTGATGACCACATTGTTTCCAAAACGTAATTACGTTGTACACTATCGAACATTAAAGCAAGCGGTAAAACACGGTGTGGTTATCACAAAACTGCATAAAGTCATAAAGTTTAAACAATCTCGATGGTTGGCACCCTACATCCAAATGAATACAGAATTACGTAAAAAAGCCTCCAACAAGTTTGAACAAGATCTACCAAAATATATGATCAACTCCAACTATGGTATTACTAATATTTTTATACGTTTAATTTTTTTAATAATAAAAATTTTTAATTTTACTAGGTAAAACATTGGAAAACGTGAGAAAACATCAAAATATTCAACTCGTTTGTAACGAAGATAAATTATCAAAACTGGTAGCGAAACCGTCGTTTGGTCACACCACAATATTTAATGAAAATCGTGTAGCTGTACACATGTATAAAGAAAAAATTAATTTTTTTAAACCCATTTTTATTGGACAGGTTGGATATANCATTTTTATTGGACAGGCCGTGTTGGATATTAGTAAATGTATCATGTACAAGTTTCATTATGATATAATGCAACCATTTTATGGTCCTGAAAGACTTAGACTCGTGTATATGGATACAGACAGTTTTATTTATTTAATATTAACGCATAGTTTTCAGGATGATTTGAAAAAATATCTGTTTGAATACTTCGACACTTCCAACTATCCCACTGATCATCCATGTTACAGTGATAAACGTAAAAAACAACCGGGTACATTTACCGACGAATGTAAAGGTATGCATATGGAAGAAATTGTTGCACTCTTGCCCAAATTCTATGCGTACCTGATTGCCTACAAAAATTATAAAAACGTTTTGCGGCAAGAAGAAGTGAAGCGATTGAAGGGTATTAGTATGGGTGTAGTGAAACATGAAATAAATATGGTTGACTATTTAAATTGTTTGCGAAATAAACTAAAACAAATTCACAAGAAAATTTCCATCATACGTTCAAAACATCACAATGTTTTGACGGTAGAAACGAGGAAACTCGCATTGTCCAACAACTATGACAAGCGTGCAATAGTCGGTGACGAGTTTGAGTATAAAAATGTATATACAAAAGCGTGGGGACATTATTCTTTAAATACATAACAATTTATTTTGTATAAAATATATTATTGTATTTAGTATTTTATTAACAATATATGTCAATTTATTATATAATCTTTAATTTATAATTTATTTATGAAAAATATACTTATTGTAGAAATAAAAATGAATATTATAAAGTATTCGTGTTTATATAAATATATATATTTTTTAATACAATAGCGTTACATGTTATAATTCATCCATTGTTTTAAACATATAGTCTTATATAAACTGCACATATTTGGGTTGTTCATGTGTCGGATACAACATGGTTTTGTAACACAACTTAAATTGTACAGAGGAGGACAGTCCAAATCCTCTACGTTGACTATACGTTGTCCTGGTATGTACTTTTCCACTACTCGCTTTTTTACAGCTCCCTTCACGTAAATGGTTTCGCATCGCAAGAGTTTCATTATTTTCGGCAACTCATTGTATTCCACATCCCCGCAACGTGTATCCATTCCATGTAGGTATTTTTTCAACCAAAAGTTTGTTTTAGCATCCTCCTTGATACTTTTTGGATGTTTGAACATCCAATGGGCGAAAGAAGTGCAGTCTATGGCAATAGCAGTCAGTTCCTTGACCAAAAACGATCGGTCAGCTGCTACAATACCTTGTATATCGACAATCATTGAGGTAAGATATTGGTTTTCGGTATCCATGAATTGTGTTCTGGGCCAAATCCTAACCATTTAACGTAACACTGATCTCCTTGTGTTCGCAACACTCGTTCGACTAAATACATGTCCGGATAACTGGTCTTGTTCAGCTCTTCGGTGTAAAACACACCACGTATTGGATTTCCCTTATAGTCTTCTAGATAGTAAGTTGGTGGTACTGATTGTCTAACCTTGACTATGGTAAATAGTTCGGTGCTCCAGTTCGGCAAATAACCCTTGTCAAACACTGATTTATGTACACTAATCCGAACTTTGTCACCCACGTGGAATTTTATCGGTAAATTATCGGGTATTTTGCGTAACTTGAGTCGAACCAGGTCGGGGTTTTGCACAGCTTGCACCGGTATCATTCCGATTGTTCTATGTTTACGCACGTTATTGTATTCGTGCAACAGCGTAGGCAACCGATTCACCCACTTGTACGAACCACGTGCACTAAAATCGCACCACATTGCGTTTTTCAACGTGCGGTTAAAACGTTCCACGAGACAGGCTTTCATAGTGGAATAAGTTGAATAGTGATTGATTGCATATTGTGACATCAGTTTTTGAAACTGTTTGTTGTAGAATTCTTTAACATTGTCCGTTTGCAAAAGTTTAGGATGACGACCTTGTTTTAATATTCCATTCATGGCAGCTGTAACTTCTTTGGCTGTTTTATTTTTCAACGGAATGGCCCACGCATATTTTGAAAATCCATCGATGCACGTTAAAATATACCGATGATGTCGATCGGGGTATACGCGCATTTCCACGAGGTCAGCATGCCAAACATCATCGAGACCTTTGATATTTATTCGAGCACGGGTGTACGTCCTACGGGCCTGCTGATGTAGTTCATAGGCAATGTTCTTATTCATAATGTTGATGGTATTTGTTCAATGTAACCGGTTTCCTGCAACTCTTCCAATATAGAAATGATTTCCGGTGCAACTCCAGTGTTACCAGCTGACCGGGCCGATATCAATAAACGTAAACGATCTACAAGCTCGTTGGGTTCGTCCCAGTACACATACTCTTTTTTCTTGTTGTTCAACCTTAACTGTAGACCCACACCGATAATAGATGTGTCACTGATACTGCTGTTANTGTTCAACCTTAACTGTAGACCCGCACCGATAATAGATGTGTCACTGATGCTGCTGTTTTCAAATAATGGTAAGGAATTGTTTGCGCTACCACCATCATTGTTTTCAAACAATGGTTTAATAGTGTTAACATATTTTTGACCTCCTTTTTTTAATGTTCCGTCTTTATTCAAATGTACACCGGTTTCGAGTAAAATTGTTTTGTATGCCTGCAAATCCGATTCGGAGTAAACACCGGGATTTTTCGAAAAAAGTAAGTCCACAAGACCTAATGTCAGCAGGAATTTTTTCTCCAGTACGTTGATTATTCCTCCATTGACAAAGATATTGTCGACTCCACCTATTGTCAATGTTCCTTCTGGTGTCACTTTTGGTCCATACATTTTGTCTCTGTTCGGGTTCATTGACCATTGGTGCATGTACTGATGGAAAAACCCATCATCGTGTTCCATATTGTATCTATCATCATTTAAACTTTTGATGGATTGCTGTAGATGTTGTTCATGTTGATGTTGCTGCTGCTGCTGCTGTTGCTGTTGCTGTTGCTGTGTCACGATTTTATCCAATGGTGCAATGATTGGTGCCAATTCTCGTTTTACGCGACTCAATGAATCCGCTTCACCACGATGCAATTCCGTGTACTTTTTTCGAACATTTTCCCGGGCTTCCGTCAATAATTTCAACAACGTTTTTTTTTCTTCACGAATTCTATTATTAATAGTACTCATATCGTCACAAATGTGTCAAACTTGTATCTATACCGACCACCGTCACGCGCGAAGTCTAAACAAATCACTGCAAATCCATACCGGTCTTTGTTCCAACAATGTTTGCAAAACTCTTTGAATTCGCCGAATTTCATATCGCAACACACGTATTCATCGTACGCGTGCCGTAGATTAACTTCATCCTGTCGGAACAACACCACCAAATTTGTGTTGTCACGTAACATTTGTTTTTGTATGCGTGATAATGTTTGTGAGAGAAAAAACACGTCAACTCGACGGTGACGTCCACGCGCGAAATAATCACACATTACATTTTGTTTTTCCATAACAACATCGTCGAATATAAAAACAGAATTGGGCAGGATGTTATCCACCGACGGTACATCTTCCCCGTTTTCATAGGTAAACAACTGCACTCCTTGGACACCACGTAAAACTTCCACGAGTAGTTGATACTTGCACTGATGCAACGATTTTGAGTAAACGTATACATTTTCAAATCGAAGTCCGTTGATATCGGTCAGTAGGGTAAACATCAAGTTTGTTTTTCCACAATTTGACGGTCCGCAAATCAATGCACGTATTGTGTTTGGCAATAGTTTACCGTGTTTACTGGATGCAATATCACTACTTTTTTCAAAATTCACGATAGGTAGCGTGAGGGTCTGTTTTTTGAAACGCATCGCACGTCATCGAACCATTACCGTCAATATGAAAATAATGGTTAAACAGAGACAACGTGGAAAACAAGGTGCAGGGATATTGAACAGTGTAATCAACAAATTACCATTCGAAGCCCACATTCCAGGTGTGTATGTGTGTGTGTGTGTGTGTGTGTAATTATTCAAAATTATTCTTTCTAAATAGTTTTATCATTATTTTAAATGTTTACTATTTAGGTTATCAATTTGCGGGCCCTGGAACACGGTTAGAAAAGAGATTAAAGCGAGGTGACGTTGGAGTGAACCCGCTTGATGCTGCTTGCCGCAATCACGATATCATTTATAGTAAATACAAGAATCTCGAGGACCGTCATAAAGCGGATAAGGTGTTGGAACATCGGGCTTGGGAACGAGTGTTGGCCAAAGACGCTAAATTGCCTGAACGAGTCGCAGCTTGGAGTGTGACCAACGCAATGAAATTGAAACGTAAACTCGGTATGGGTTTTAAACGAATCGTGCGTGCGGCCAAACTTGATAAAAATGCTCAACAAATGGATTTATTGAGTGTGGCAAAACGATCGTTGATGGCAGCACGACGTGTGGTGAGAAAGAAAAAAATTCCACTGCCCCGTACCATAAACGTTCCGAAAACTAAAGGCGGTGTACTACCGCTTATACCTATATTTGCCGGACTGTCGGCGTTGGGAGCTTTAGCCGGCGGTGCTGCAAATGTGGTCAAGATGGCTACCGAAATTAACCGTAAAGGCAATACAGCGATAAGCATAGGTAAAGGATTTTACCTGCAACCATACAAATCGGGGTCTGGTTTCAAATTGACGGCGAGTACGAAAACTAAGAAAAAGACGTCTCGAAAAAATCATAAGAAAAAAACAAAAAACTAATTTCACAGCTACCCGATCGTGCCTTGTACGATGTTGAAATTGCAAATTTCGGTAGTCGAGCGTTCGATCGTAAAGTGTTTCGTGGCGTGTTCTGTCGGGACCGAAAACAATCGAAATGGGTGTAGTGAACTTGGACCTTTCCACTAACCCTGGCACTCATTGGGTAGCATATAGTAAACGTGGTAAACGCATTACGTATTTTGACAGTTTTGGTAATTTACGACCACCGTTGGAGCTGCAACGATACTTTAAAGGATGCGCAATCGTGCACAATTATAGTAGATATCAAAACTTCAACGAGGTAAATTGTGGTCACTTGTGTTTGGAATTTTTAATTGAACAACAATAACATGGCAACAACAGTGACGTTAATCGGCGTAGGATCTGAATTGCAATGCACATTCAATCCACCCATCGATGTCGGTGGCAAATGTAAAATTGGACTATTGAGCTTGCATACGTGTGACACGATACCAAATATTGATGAGGATTGTAACAAATTCATTTTCGGCACTGTTGACAATCCAATTATGGTGATAACATAATTATGGGATCGTACGAATTTANATTATGGTGATAACACTACCGACGGGATCGTACGAATTTGACGATTTACAGAAACGAATTACCGACAAGTACAATGGAGAAGAATACAAGTACAGTATGCAAAAACAATTAGATTTTGATGATCCATTGTTGCCAACGGTTGGTTTGCTCAAGGAAAACAGCAGTGAAATCGGTGACAAAGAGTTGGGTGATCGAAACGTTATTTCTTTCACAGCCGATCGCAACACTATGCGAAGTATAATCAAATGCGATCACGCCATAGATTTTACACACCCGCAATCAATCGGTGGAATGCTGGGATTCCGACCTCGTGTATTGGCACCGAAAATGGAACACACGTCGGATTTTCCGTTATCTATTACAAAGGTGACATGCATACGAGTTGACTGCAATATAATTGTTGGCTCGTACCACGAAGGACGTCAATCGCATACATTGCATGAATTCTTTCCAAACGTACCACCGGGTTACCGTATTATCGAATGTCCCAGACAAGTCGTTTACTATCCATTAAACACAAACGTATTGAATACGATTCGAATCACATTGCTCGATCAAGACGGCCAACATGTCAACTTAAGAGGTGAAAAATTAACAGTACGTCTACACATCAAACAAGATGGATGAAAGTACGATGACGTTATGGGACCGTATAAAACAAATTGATTCCTCACATATTGGATTATTTTTGTGCATACTAGTCACAGTTGTGCAACTATTACTGCTCCTTCAAACATCCGACAATAGCTGTCAGCTGATAAACAGTGACAATAACAACAACAACAACAACAGTTCAGCTACAATTTATCGTTTGGAAGCACTGGCTCGAGAACTTTATTCAGTCGATGACCGTGTCTTTATATTGGAAAAACGTGTTGACACTCTTTAAATGCCTCTGAGTTTCAACAAGAGTGTAGTGCACCATCATTTGGGTGATGGCATATACTCTACGACGGAGCAACGGAACAATCGTGTGACGCTATCGCAGCAACAACTCACAAAGGAAAATATTGAATTTTTAAAATCATTAGGTTGTCGAGTCAATCATGGCCGAGTACTTACACGTGTTGGAAAAATGTCAACAAGACGACAGCGTAAAACGTGAATACTATCTAGAACATCAGAGCTACAACAACTCGTACGAACACAACGATGAAATCCGCATCGAGGTACGTAACAAGGAGAAATTCACCGTACCGTGCGAAAGTTATTTGCAAATCAAAGGAAAACTGGAAAAACCACCAGTTGGAACAGTCGGTGAAATGGTTATGGGGCAAAATTTTCTCATGCACTTATTCGACGAAATCAGATTTGAGGTAAATGGTAAAGAAGTGGACAAGATAAAATATGTCGGAGTGGCTACAACCATCAAGGGTTATTGTTCGCTCACACCCAACGACATTCGACGATTGCAACCTGCCGGATGGAAATATGCGCAAATCTTGCACAACAACGATTTCATCGATGGGACTGATTTTGTGGCGCAATGTCCATTGTCTATGTGCATGGGATTTTTCGAACGATACCGACGAACACTGATAAACTGTACTCAGACACTTGTGTTGAATAGATCGAGTACCGATAGCACTGTTGTAACATTTGTTCCACAGACAACAACAACAGACGATAAAGCGCAAGTTGCATCATTGATAAAACAAATCAATGTGAAAATATCGAAAATCAAATGGGTGGTAAAGTACTTTGAACCCAGCGTGAAAACCGAACTGGGTCTTATGCGTATTCTGGACAGCAAGAAATGGCTCCCGTTAGAATTTCAACACTGGGATGTTGCCGTTTACCCATTGGTACTGCAGACAACTCATCACACGTGGTCGGTGCGCACCTATTCGAATGTGGAAAAACCCAGATATCTACTTATTGCCATGGGTAATGAGAACGAACACGTTCTTGGAGATTTCGATCACTGTTCATTGAGAAACGTCAAAGCGTATCTGAATGCGGACGAATACCCATACGAGAACCAAAACGCCGATTTCGACAACAACAAGTATACAACCTTCTACAACTCGTACACTCAATTCCAAACAATGTACTACGGTCGTAAAGATCCGTACCCTCTACTAGATTATATAAATTACAAAAAACGTGGACCCATAGTTGTGATCGATTGTTCTAAACAAAACGATACCGTCAAGACTTCAACGGTTGATCTACGTTTGGATTTCGAATGCTCTAAACAGTTTCCCGATAAAACATCATTGTATTGTGTAATTATTCACGATTGTCAAATGGAATACAACGCATTTACGGGTGAAGTACGAAAACTCTAATGTATATACAAATATATTTTTATTATTGTATAATTTACAGTATAGTATAGAAACAAAAAAATGTATAAATATATAATTTTTATTAATAAAAACATAGTTATTTTGCAAACTTGTTGTTTTTTATGTTATTTTATTTCGATTATCCTTGAATTTGATTGGAAAAGTCACACATAGAAGGTCTTTCTTGTCAATTATCGGCAAAGCATCTACACCTAAAAATGATCTATTTGTAGCCAATTCTACCAGATCGGAAAAGTAATACAAGTGCTGAAATTTTTATAAGTATTAGAGTTAAGATGAAAAAATCAAATATTTTTTAACATACTTTCATGTGTGGATAATTGAAAATAGTTTTCGAGATATTTTTGGCCAAAATGAATCGTCAGGATCCAGACCAATGTATACACGAGACATTTGTGAAATGCTATATATTGATGAATCGATCAAGTCGTTGATTTTATTGAATTTACACCTTGGTGTAGCCATTGTGATTAAAGTCTCAAGGTCCAATAGGCGTTACTATCGCTGCGATTCGCATTCACCGTTTTTTCAATTGTTTCAATTGAATCCAAAAGTTCGTAATATATTCGCTTCACAACTGAGCATGCACATTCAGGATTGTCCGAATTTTTTCCCACATTCAATAATTCACAACCCTTGTAGTGTAAAAAGTCTCCACCGGTACCGTTGACTTTATCTCCTAGACGTTCCGCAAAATATTGTAAATCTCGATAATTTTTCAATAATTTACTGAATGGTTTAAAAACTCTATCTGTCGGTTCGTTTTCAACAAGACAAATCAATTTATTCGATATATTACTTAAATAATCCATCTTACACGCACAATAGATTAACAAATACTGAGAACCGATTAGTAGTCAACAGACAATGTTGCTGCTGCACGACACCAAACTTTCCAAACATCTGTTAGACATTGGAATCTCGATGACGAATGAGGTGTATTTTATGGATTACACGACTATGGCGTATACCCCGTCGACGACGACGACGACGACGGTGGCGGTGGCGGCGGCGGTTGCGATGACACAATATAACGCGCGACCGTTTGACGTACAACTCCTAGGTGGGAGGGTGTAGGCAGGGGCAGAGTCTTTAACATTATTGTATGTGACGTGATGACCTTAAGGGCGATTATATTACGTAACACCTGTGATGCTCCTGATTGAGGGGCACGCGTTGCTGCATACGTCACACCGACAACGACGTAACGCCGAGTCAGCTGACCACCTACCCTCCGCCAACCCACATTATTATCGCAATTTTAACAATAACACACTTGATTTACAACTTTAACAATTACGATTGACCTTAATTAACCATTTAATTACCCATTAACACTCTTAATTTATTACTTTTTGATGACGTATGACACTAATTACCATGGCGGCATCCTTTGATCCCCAGAACCCGCTATTTAGATACTACTATTATTATTTCTTTTTTGTGATTTTTTCGTTGGTATTGTTGGGCCTCTGGTGCAAGCCGTCCATAATACCCATACCGACCACCATTGACATAGCCAAATACCATCTTTAAATCCCTAACATGTGAAAGAGTACCACCATACTTTGTAGAATATTAATTATGGGTAATAGGGTCAATCCATGGCAAATCATCCAGAAGTGGTTGCACGACCATCTCATATTTTTCTGAAATTTAGATTAAAACAATTTTTTTTTTATTTTTTTTTTTATGATCTTCCCATTTTTATGGCTATTTTAATGTAAAAAAAGTTAAAAATATCTAGATCGTTAAAAAACACAGATAATTCAATTTCAACTCAATCGAATTAAAATTTTAGATTTGACCCTATTATAACTTAAAGTTTACATTAAAAAAAAAAAAGAAAATTAATGTGAAATTCTAAACTTTAATGACTTTCAAAAAATAGCGCTTTTTTGTGAAAATTGGCATTTTTGAGCTCATTTAAAACCATTAAGAAGTTATTATTTTATTGTGATTTTTACATGTGATATTGTATAGTGTATAATCTACGTTTCAACTAAATTTCAAATATTTAAAACAATTATCTTGGGATTTAGAGGCCTGCAAAGTTAGAAATTTTATAAAAATACGTGTATTCTAAGTGCAATATCTCTGTTAGGAGACCTATTTCCAAAAAAAATTTTTTAGTTTTGTAGATATATATCTGTTTTATACACCATAAATATTTGAAGTTTTAGAAAAATGTGTAACATGTAAAATTTATCATTAGAAAATCAGTAAAAATCAAATAATTTAATGATAGTTTTTTGTTGTTTTCAAACCACATTTTTGTAATTTTTTTTGTATATCATTGTCAATGTAATATATTATAATTCAATATAATTATTAGACACGTTATAAATATTCAATTCATTATTTTAGTTGGAAAATAAAAAATAAATAAATAAAATTATTATGATAATATTGTAAAATATTTTAATAAATAATCATGGTTTTTCTAGTAGTTAGAATATTGTCTTCATAAATGTCAGTTAATGATATCTTAAGACTTCTTATGTTATTGTTATTAATTGATAATAATCTGTGATTTTCCCTATTCCCGGGTATACTTTTACACAATTTAAATCCCATATTAGGTGTTTTTTTGTACTTCTGAGGTGGTTATTTTATCTCTTTAATTTTGATAAATTTTGTTACTTTTCTTTTTGTTGTTCAACCAACTTCATCGCAGGCCTATTTTGCCATAACACAAAGCAAATAAATGCCATTCTGCATTCTGCACCTTCTGAGGTGGATATTTTATACCTTTAATTTTTTCATCGTAAAATTGAAAAATTTCAATTGGCGTTAATATTTGGTAATAACCCACTCGTTGCAGACTACATTTATCAAGCGAAATTATAATTTTGTAGTACAGGATGAAATTCATATTTTAGGAGAGTATTTAATATTTTTTACTTAGTTAAACATTTTATAGAATTTTTTTTGCTAAAAATCAAAGTAATGATGAAAAAAAAGGACATTAGGTCCTTATTTATTAGAAGTTGCCTAAAAAAATATTGATAGCGCTGGTTCAAGGGGGGCCATATCTCCCTTAAATACATACCTGGTATACACAAAAATATTAATATTTTAATTTTAATACTTGTGTTTATATTATAGAATAATTACAAAAAAAATCAGCAGGTTATTATACGTGGGACTATGTAAAAAATTTAATTTTGATAAAAATATTGGTAACTGCTATTTAACGTTGGACAGCATAGTTGTCATAGATGAATTCCAATTTAAACAATAAAATCATAGACTCATACATCATATATGAGAAAAAAAAGATTATTAATAATGTAGTGTTCTGATAATGAATGTACAAACTTATATAATTATAACCGTTTTGAAATTTATATATAACATTCCTCAATAATATTTAAAATATAGTGATTTGCGTAAAATTACTATATTTAAAATTACAAATAAAAATATATATTACACAAATTAAGGTTTAGAATAAACGTATGCACAGAAATGAGTCGATGTCTACGTAAATACCATGCAGGTGAATTTAAAAAAAAAAAAAAGCTTGTAAAACAGTGAAAAATGAACGGATTGAATTGATTTTTTTATCATATCTTAGGAATGTCATTGGGTGGGTCTGATGAAAATTTCAAACCTTAAGAAGTAAAACGCTGGCGTCAGCGAGCGTTTTTCTCGAAAACGGTCGAAATTTTAAAACGCTCGCGGGCGAGCGCCAAAAATTTTCCGACCTTTGCTAATAAATTTCCTGTAGTCTGGTGACTAAATACTTTCGTTGAAAAAATGTTTTTAAAAATCCGAGCACGCTAAGTAATTTTTCCAGAAGAGCGTTTTTTCCTTGTTCTATTATATAATAAGTTTAAAAAATATCGTAGTAGTAAATAATCAAACATCGTTCACTAACTCCATAAGCAATATATTTTGACATAGAGTTTCAATTTTAAATTAGTGTTTAGATGAAAAATAAGAAAAGGTAGAGGAAGACCAAAAAAGATATGGAGATATTATTCACAACCAAATGAGGATGGTTTCTGTGAGCATTTTTTTTAGCAAAATACTTATTAAATTAAAAATGGAATAAATAAATATGTTTAATTCTATATATAAATTTTAAGTTATTGAAATAAAAAGGTGCGAGGTCAATATTTAGGGAATAATAATTGAATTTAATCATACCGAAAAAAAGGGTTTTAATAAAAATTCTTAGTGTTTTAGCTTCGATGCGAACCTGAAAAGGTATTAATTTTACCATGATGTGTTTATTATTATTATTATTTTTTTTTGTATCTGTTACTATTATTTCTCAGATCTCCCTGGACCGATTTTTCTCAACTACACGTCAAAAGATCACAAATCGTATCTAGTTGAAGAAAAAATTACGATTTTTAAAATATGTAAATTTTGACAATTATGTCACTTTTTTTTTAATTTAGAGTGAGATAGACTCTAAATTTTTAACATTTTACTACCATTTTTGTAAACAAATTTTCAATTTGTATTATATTGTATGATTTATTTAAAATAAACACTATTCTCTTTTTTTTTTTAAATATATAATTATACATTTTTTTTTGCTTGTAAAGCTTATTAAGGATGTAGTGGTCTCTCCCAAAGGAGAAGGTTTCTTATCCATTAATACATTGAACGGGTTATTAGTCAGTCGCCAGAGAGAAGGATGGCGACTCCAGTTACTGTTTGATAAGGTTATCACATATACAGGTGATTTTTTTATCATAACCCACTCAATTAATTACAGAATAATAATTTAAACATTTTTTTTTATTATCTTTAGTTACACATTATTCTTGAATTATTAACTATGTAATACTTTTTAATTTCATCACTTATGCCTGGTAAAGGTGTCAACTTTGTTTTTTTAAATGGTAACACATATTTTTAATTTAATAAAATGTTTGAGTTTTTAATTCAATAGTAAATGGCATTTGAATTTTTAATGAAACTTAATTTGTTTATTAGATATAAACATTTAAAATTTCAAATTTTTGAGTTCATCAAATGGTATACGGGCATAAAATAATTATGTATACAGATCATCAGCCTTTAATTACAATTTTTAAGAAAGAAATAAATGAAATAACAGCTAGGTTACAGAGGTTTAAACTTGGGTTGTTAAAATATGACATAGAACTATTGTTTGTGCCGCGAAAAAAAAATTTATTAGCAGACCCGTTATCTAGATTATATTTAGATGATGAACTTATATTTAAAAATGAGTGCAGTGAATTAGTTCATGAAGTTATCTTATCACCTGAAAAAGTATTATTAGTGTTACCTGAGAAACAAAAATTAATAAAATTAAAGACTAAGGAAGACCCTTGTTTAGCAAACATTTTAGAATTATATTATAATGGGTGAGATACCAAATCAGTAGATTTGTCAAATAATGCAGAAATAGGCAAACTTGTTAAAGAAAAAGATTTTATAACTGTTAGTGATGAGTTAATTTTTTTTAATGATTGTATAATAGTTCCAAAAGCACTTAGAAAAAATGTAATTATTAAGTTACATTCAGATCACATGGGTTTAACTAAAACAATTTCTAAAGCAAAAGAAGTAGTTTATTGGCCCTATATGGTAAATGATTTTAAAAATTTTCTGTCTAACTGTATACCTTGTAACAAGTATAAGAGAGCTAATATAAAGGAACCTCTAATGTCTCATGAACTAGCATTACATCCATATTTTAAAGTAGGTGTAGATCATGCTGAAATAGCTGGAAAAGTTTATTTATTGGTAATTGATTATTATTCAAAATGGTTTGAAGCAATTAAAGTTCCATCAAAGAGTATCAATGTAGTAATAAGGGAATTAGAAAAACTATTCTCTCAATTTGGTATACCCAATGAAATAATCTCAGACAATGTGCCTTTCAATGCACATGAATTTAATTTTTTTTGTACAAGTAATGATATTAAACATAAACGTATAAGTCCCAAAAATATAGACTTAAGTAAATGTTGTTAATAAAATTAAGTAAATGTTGTACAGTACAATCAAATAGTAATATTAAAAAAAAAAAAAAACAAGTTTGATAAGGTTATCATATATATATATATATATAGCAAGTAGCACAATAATCATAAAACAGTTGTAAAATATATAATAAATATTGTTTCTGTTTTTAATAAATGTTGTATTTATTTTATTTTTCATTAAATAAAACATCATACACGAAACAGTCACCAAACTGATTTCTATATAAATTAAGTTTATTGATATCTTGCTATCCTTACCGTCTTCGTCTTTTATTTCAATAGCCCACAATGGCAGTTTCAACTTGGTGAAGCATAGTCTATATGTTTTTTTCATATTAAAGTAGATTACATGTGATTTAATTTAAAATATTTATAAAAGTGTCAGTATTTCCGGAACACTTTCAGAAGTTAATTTGAAAAAGTGAATTTTTTGTGAAAATCATTTTGAATACTCTCTTGTGGGTAAATGAAGGGTTAAATTTACAAAAAAATATACCAAATGATCGCTAAATATCTAATGTATTTATTAAAAAAAATTGTTTCTATTCATCTATTTTCATAAAGTTATGGCAATTTTAAGTAAAAAAAAACGGATGTATCGCGACACAGTATGGACGTGGAATAGTTGGGACAAGTATAGATGATATATGATAGTGATTAAAATCACTATAATAAGAAACACTTTGATGCAAATCTGTAGATAGTATTTAATTCTAATAAATTGGTGCAATTATAAAAGTAACTATAACTTCTATTTCCTTAATTATATCCTGATTAGTCGTTCTTAGATTCAAAAGTATAATACATGAATAAATATTTATTTTAGCAATTAAATAAAGTACAAATTTAATTTTTAATAATTTTGTAATGTAATTTTTACGTAGTAATTGTAAAAAATTATAAGTGGTATATTTTGTTATTTCTATGACAAACATGAATAAAAATTAAAGGATCTGTGTAATAATACTAGTAAGTCTATTAGGAGCTCAAATAATAAAGTACTAAAACATAGACTTTTAATAAATAGTAAATAAATGAATGTATTTTACATTATAATAAATTAAAAATACGTGAACATCGCGGGTTTTTCGTACGGTGATTGAGAAGGTCATTGACTAACTTGCATTACCTTCCATACGAATAACACAACGGACGATCACCAGTATAGCAACGATAAACTAATCCCTCCACTATATAAACTATACATCACAATCAGCCATCCTCTGTAATTATTGGCTCCTAACAAAATATCAACAATATACAGATAATTTACAGAAACATTTTTTTTTGTGTCTGACTAGATAACAAATAATATTTTTTTAACATCTACGAAATATAAGAACAAATGACCGAAACAATTCTAAATTATACACAATAATAATTATACTATTATAAAACAATAATTATAGCATTAACAATAATAATAACGATTAAACATTTTTTTAGCTTCGATGAGGTATTGGTTTCACTAGGATGTTTTTTTTTTTTGTGTCTGTTACCACTTTTTCTCAGCTCTCACCGAACCGATTTCTTTCAATGATACGTCAAAAGATCACAAATCGTATCTAGTCGAAGACATTACCCTCAAAAATTGAAAAAAATTCCCTCGTTTCTCGTAAATGGGGGAAATCTCCAAAAAAAATATAAATTTAAAAATCTTTATAATGCTATAATTTATTGAAAAGTGTATGGATCAAACAATTTTTTATGAGATATAATATTTATATCCCTTTTTCATTCACCATACCCAACCCACAGGAAGAGTTTTCAAATGGTAACTTTTTACAAAAAATTAAGTTTTTCAACTTAACTTTTGTAAATATTCCGGAAAGACTGACACTTTTATGTGTACCTTAAATTAAAGATTATGTAATATACTTTATTTAAAAAAAAAAATTTCATTTCTGGTCATGTCTTCATAGTGAAAACTGAGATCAAAGTTAAAGAAAAACGTACAATTTCCAAGAAAAAATTGTCGATTTTATATTTTATATTATTAAATTTATATTACGTTTAAAATATATAACTTTTGGAAAAATGTATGGATCAATATTATTATTTTTTTATAATAAAGTTTTATACACCCCTTTCATCTGACAAACTTTTTTTTTAAATCGGATCATACCCCTTTATACAAGGGGGCCAAAATTTTAACATGAGTATTGAAACTATGACATTTTCAATTTAATTTTTAAAGTTTTCCAGAAATACTGACACTTTTATGCACTTTTTCTTAATTCTTTTAAGTTAGAATAAATTTTCAACTGCTTTGATTTTTATCTCATTTAGATTCAAAAACTTCAATGAAGATTAAAGATCCCATAACTGTAGCCGCCCCTTATGAGAACAAATGTCTTATTCAAATTACAATTATTTTGCTATATTTTAGGTTTTAGCTTCGATGCAAAGCTGAGAAGGTATATTTTTGTGACTTTATTTTCTCTGTTCTAACTTGAATTATTGCTATATAAATCATTTCTAAAAAAAATGATTTTTAGTTTATCCTGTTTTAACAATATTTTTACAATTATAATCAAATTTTATAGTACGCTATTGAGTAGATCTTTTTAACCACTTTTTTAGCTTCGATGCGAAGCTGAGTAGGTATTAATTTTACTATATGTTTTTTTTTTTGTTATTTAGTTATTTAGTTAAAGTAAATCATTACAATTAATTGAGTTCATATTTCAATTGTAGAATATTTTTAAACACTAAATGTCACTAGGAAATGATTACTATTATTTCTATTTAAGTTATCTATTACGATATAAATGCAAAAAAATATTGAGCTACTCTGATAAATTTACTATAAATAGTTATTATAATATTTCCTGACTGCATATTAATCTTAACAATACAATGTTTTTAATTATCATAAAATTTTCTATTTAATGTCAGTTGTAAACCTGCAATTGAGCTAAAAGTTACAGCAACATATTTAATTTTTATTTACGATAAACTTTCACAAAAACTTTTCATCAACTTTAAAGGACCAAAAAAATAGGTTAAAAATGAAATTTTGGACTAATTATTTTTAATATATTAAAAATCAAAATCAGTAATAATTTGAAAACAAATTTTTTTTTCTTTTAATTATTATTTTATATGTAATTAGTAATAATATAAAAAATTAGAAGTGATAAAAAAAGTCTAATTGCAGATTTGAAAATGGCGCGAAAGTTGATTTAGAAAAGTATATTTTTGCTTCTGATGAAAGTTCCTTGTAATCCAGTGTATAAAACTTATAACTTTGTTAACTGTTGTAACTTGTGATACTCTGATAAATTTATTATAAATAGTCACTATAAAACTTCCTAACTGCATATTAATGTTAACGATACAATTTTTTTAATTCTCATATCATTTTCTATTTAATGATGTCAATATCAAACTTGCCAATTGAGCTAAATGTTATGATAAAATAAATTATTATTTTTTATTATAAACATTCACAAAAATCAACTTTAAACGATTAAAAAAATAGGTTAAATATGTCATTTTCCGTATTTTTAACATATTAATAATCAAAATCAGTATTAATTTAAAACAATTTTTTTTTGTTCTTAATTATTTTTTTTTTATATGTAAATACTTATTTTTTAATAAGTAATAATATTAAAACTTAGAAGTAATAGAAAAAGTTTTATTGCACATTTGAAAACATCGCGAAAAGTTGATTTAGAAAAGTATATTTTTGTTTCTGATGAAAGTTCTATTGTATTTATTCATAAGTAACAAAATTTTTTTACTAAAAAGTATTGCATCAATCCTTTTAAACTCCTTTTTATTTTTATAATATCTCCGTAAAAATTACAATACTATATTATTGAATATCAACTTCATACTAAATTTAATTACTATAATTATTATGTATTCATATATTATAATTATAAATCGGGATAAAATTAAGGGAATAAGAGTAATTGTTGATTTTGAAATAATCTACCAATATCTTAAAATTAAACACTATCTACAGATTTGCATCGAAGCGGTTTTTATGATAGTGATTTTAATCACTGTATGATATCATTATACTTGACCCAACTATGCCACGTCCCTACTGTACTGGGTTTTTTTTTTGTATGCCACATCTTTGTTTTTAAAAATTAGTATATATTTTAAAAATTAGACGTGCTAAGAATGTTTTAAAGTATGATTGTTAAAAATTGTTTTGATTGATATAATTTCTTTAATATTACATAAAAATAATTAAATTTTTTCGTTCAAGGTTATTTGAAGATTTATTTCTTAAAATTATATATATACAAATATATGTTTTCATTGAGAAAAATAGTGTTCATACAAATTACTGATGTATATATTATTTTTAGCATTAGTAACAACAACAGTATGATATTAATATATGCAAACATATTTTTTTTTACAATAATTCATCTACATTTGAGTTTACTAATTTTAAACGGTCAAAGCCTATCACAGCACTGAATGGTTTTTGACTAACTCTCACCTGTTATATCTTGTACCATATATCTGTCATACCTAATCACTTTAGTTATCTCATATGAACCTTTGTACTTAGGTTCTAATTTTTTACTTTGTCCTGTAACAGGTGGATCTCACCTGACCATTACTAAATAACTTGTATTGTACTTTGATGGTTTTTTTTCGTTCATTTATTCTTGTCAACATTTTCTCCTTATTTTCCTTTAATATTTCTGTTAAATTAACATTTTCAACCTTTTCTTTATTTAACCTAACTGTCTCTATCTCTCTATTCAAACTATTTGTACTTAATCCATTTGCTTTATAGATATGTAAAACTTCAAATGGTTTACATTTTGTTGCTGTCTGTATACTATTATTTACAGACCATTGTACTTCCATTAACTTTATATCCCAATCTGTTTTCTCCTCACTTTCAGTTATTATTGCTAAACATTTAATAATAGTACTCAATTGTTTTCTCAACTTGACTCCTAAGACTTTTGGTTGCCGTTTTTACATGTATAATATTGTGATATCTACAAAACTTTTCAAAAACCACCGTAGTATAAGCGGAACCTTGATCGCTAATAAACTGAAGTAACTTGCCATAATGACTTATAAAAAGTCGTACGTACGCTATTATTTCTTCGGCACTCACATCATTCACTGCGCTCAACACTACATACTTACTACAGCCATCTATAAAAGTAAACACATACTTGTTGTCCCTATCAGTCAACACAAATGGACCTACATGATCTAAATGTACAGTTAACATAGGTTGGGTACCCTTATCCAAATGATGCCAATACGTAGCTTCTTTATTTGGTACCCTATACTATAAACAATTTATACATCTATTTGCGTACTGCGTAATAACATTTTTCATCTTGGGAAAATAATTATTTTATTTTATTTTTGCTAAAGTTATGTCCACACCCAAATGTGAAAGCTCACGATGGGGCTCAATAATTATATCATATCTCATTCCTTTATGTAAATACAAACGTTCTATACAAATGACCATCCTCTAATTCATACTTGCTTGATACACTCGTCTATATTATTAATTTTCTCTATTAGTTCTGCTATATTAACACTGTTTCGCTGTATTGATGCTACCCAATCTGTAGTTATTTTAATACCAAATACGTGTAAACTAGCTGTTTCAATTCTTTCAGCGGGCTCTACGGGACTACAACTAAGTGCATCTGGTACTGAATTACAAGAACCGCTTATGTGTTCGATAGTATAGTTATACTCAGACATTTTAATAAACCAACGACTGATACGCGGCGATAAATCGCGTATATCAGCTAATAATTTCAAACTATTACAATAGGTTTTTATTATAAAATGTATACCTATTAAATAAACTCTAAAACATTCGACAGAATTGACATAGCTAACGCTTCAAGTTCATAAGAATGATGTTCTGACTCTACTCGTGTTGTTTTCTACTAAAATAATTAATCGGGTGTAATAAGTTATCTGATTGTCGTAGAAATATTAGTCTTTACAAGCTTCGGTGTGTAACTCTGTATGTGCCTCAGTGTTATACATTTTTAGAATTGGTTTTTGTACAATAGATTGTATCAATATTTCGAAAGAATTATGTTGTTCAGCACTTCAGTAGTATATAAATAGCGGGTACGGGCTCTCAAAGGTGCCGACAATGACGTCATCTATTGTTCTTAGAACAATGGGGCGCTAATGTTCTCGGAAAACAATAGGTGCGCTACGGGCTCTCAAAGGTGCCGACAAATGACGTCATCTATTGTTCTCGGGGAAAACAATGGGTGTACAGGTGTGCGACGGTACGGGCTCTCAAAGGTGCCGACAAATGACGTCATCTATTGTTCCCGGGAAAATGTGCAATGGGTGCACAGGTGAGATGCATTCCGTCATGGTGACGTCACACCTGACCTACCGTCACCCCCCCGGCACCGGCGCCCGTAGGGACTGCATCCAGGTGCAGCTCGTGACGTCATCCCCCTAGTTGACGACGTCACATCATTGACCAAAGGAGTAAGCCCTATGACGTCATACCTGAACCTACTACAGCTGGCCCGTTACACAAACCCAACTATATAATATATATGTTAGTCGGGTCGGTCAAAAAAAAAAAAGTTCATTTTCCAGAGTACCTACATGCTAACGGTTGAACGTATGTATAGTACGCGTCGAGTCCGCGCGTTTGATGTGTCACAACCCTATATACAGCCGTGCCAATTCACCCCGACGTTTTCGTTTAAGTTTAAGTCGATGTTTCGTAAATGATGAATACCCCTTCCATGTGGTTCCGCTACACATTCCAGACATTCCGACAGTCGTTGTGTTTGATAAAAAAACCACTGAACACGTGCATAACGCGTAGGCGCAATATCTCACAGTATTACTTCAAGGTCAATTGTTGTTTACAACATTGACTCTGTGTGTCTATACTACTATATACCCTTTTATTGAAACATTGAAATACAATATTCGGTTTTTATTGATGCGTACCATCAATGTACAGTACAAATAGCCAAAGTCTGTTAATCTTGAAATTAATGTGTTTGTTATTTTAAAATATAACCGATTACTGAACACATATCTATAATAAAGGTAACACTTGTGACTGCAATATTATTGTAGTGTCCTTCCACGGTGGACGTCAATCGCACGAAATATTTACCACGAATTTGCGAGTGACCTGAAGAATTCACCGTACGTTTGTACAGCAAACACAATGGACAGTATCAGCGACAGCACAACCGTCAAAACGTTGTGGGAGCATATTAAACAAATGGACGCATCGCGTATCGGATTATTTTTTTGTATAACGGCTGCAACAATCTTTTTGATTTTAATGCATTTCACACAAACCGTTGACAGTAGCAGATATCAGATCGTAAACAGTAGCGACAGCGATAGCGGATACGACGATGCGGATGACATCGATAATTTAAAAAATAACTTGTTTGTAATAACTAATCGTTTGGACGCGCTCGGTCGAGATTACATAGCAATCGATGATCGTGTTTTTATATTGGAAAAACGTATTGAAACAGTAGAACGAACGTGCCATTGAAATGTCAACGGGTGTTATTTAAACAAAATAGCTGACAAACGAAATTAGACTAATAATGTTTTTTTTTTTAATGATTTTCAAGATAGTAATATAAATATTACAAATTATATCGTACTTTGATAAATTGAATAATTAATTATTTTTATATGTGAAACTAAAAAAAAAAACTCATTTTAATATGTAAAAAAATTTACTACACTAATAAATTTTTCAAAAATTTAAGAGAGTTGTAGTATTTTCACGCGTTGAATGAAATCTACAAAAAAAAATCAGACCATGTGTGACTTTAACTAGCTTTAATGTCCACACAAAATTAATTTGCTCAGTTTAATCATTCCACTGATTGCGATTAGGCTGTTGTTTGGTTATACGTTTAGTATCAGTGTGTATTTGATCAAAAATGGACAGTGAAAATAAAACGTATAAGGCGTATGAAAATCGTCTCAATGAAAATTCAGGTAAGAAATTAAAACTGTATGTTACAGTGCGATACTATCTACGTGCAATTACTTTTCAATTAATTTTTTGTTCAGGATATGATGTTTGTGGATTTTACTGTTCGACGTCTTATGACCAGCAGCCTAGAATTAAACTCTCTAAACACAAAGAGTTTGCCGATTATAACACTCGTTTAAAGACTTTTGAAAACTGTCCAAAAAAATTGGAATCAAAAATATCAACACTTTGTGATGCTGGATTTTTATACATAGGTATGGGACTATATATTATTAAATGTATTTTTATGATTCGTACATTTATTCAAATACTTTATTTATAAGTGTATATAATTTTTAGGTAATGGACAAAATGATCAAATGTTATGTTACTGTTGCAGTCAAGGTTTGAAAGATTGGGATGAGGAAGACGACCCATGGGTAGAACATATACGTTGGTCTCCTAGCTGTACACATATATTGTTATGTAAGGGTCAGTTATTTATCCAAAATAATAAAATAACGAAATAAGACTACTATTATTTGTTATTTTGATTTTCATATAAATAATAAATCAATGTTAATCTTATATATTATTGTAGTTTGAAAAAAATAAATGAACATTTTTAATATTGTATCTTGTGTGTTATATGAAATTTAATAGCAATTTTCGATTTAGTAAAAAATGTATTATACTACTACATTCATAATTTTCATAATCTAAGAGGGTTATTGTATTTACAAGCGTTCGTATCTACCAAAAAAAAAAATCAGACACGTGTGACTTTATCAGCTTTATTGTGTTCCGAATTATGTATATATACATTTTTTTCCAACTTAAAAGAAAATCAACAAAAATATTGCTTAAGTTGCGTTTTTTTTTTTTTTTACACCTAAATCATTATATCCAGTAAATATTCTATACATTTTTTAACGCTGAATTACGTTTTACATTGCAACATTGTTTGCAACATTATTGATCCCCACTAGTAAGTTATTGAATTCATAGGGACTTTTATCCCAAACAATTAACTTCATTGTGCTTAAAAATATAAATTTTTACTATATAACTGTAGAAATAACCCATTATCTGTTCATTCACTTTTTGGTGTTTTTACGGTGCTATTCATCATATACTACTACTGTTTTTCACAGCCATTCTTGTGTATTTTCAACAGTCATTTCATTGTAAGTATAATTTTTTTAAATTGTCATAATGTCTTAACCCTTCAATGCATTTATTTATTTTTAAAAATCGATAATACTGATAAATTTCACAAAGTTTTTTCATAAATAAAATTTGTTTACTATAATTCGAAATATTTATAATAAGTATATTATCAATATATAACTAAAATTATAATATTTTAAGTAATACAAATACGAATTTTTAGGTCATTAAATATATTCAAAAACCCGATCCAGTGTCTTTTTAAAGTATATTTCTGTTTTCGTGTATTGAACCAAAGTAAGTTATTATCTAACCACCACTATTCAGTTATAAATGTACTTATAAGTTTACAATAATTTTAATCATTCAAAATGAAATTTCCAAAGAGTTAATTTTACACTTTCCACCACACTGTATGTTTAAATATTGTGATGATATTTAAATAATATTATATATAATACTTACATGGTCAGTGTAAATTAAGTGTTGTATATATAGTTTTGTAAATATATTTGAATATTATAAATTATTATGTTGAAAAATGTTAAATAAATATGTAAATATGTTGTATTAATGGTATGTGTGTGCACTCGTTTTAACTAACTTAAAAAAAAAAAAAATGTATTTATTTCCTTATTAAATAATCTAATGGCAACAATGTAGTAACAATCAGGCGTTTGTCACATTTTTAGCGGGTGAATGTGTTAGTATTTATTATGTTGTAAAGGTTAAAGATTATCGTCTTGTGTAAAACATATATGTGTGTTTGTGTGTGATACACTCCGCCACACACTCAATGATTTCTACAATATATGATGACGATTAGTTTGTAAACAACTGTATTAAAAAAAAAAAAAAAACAACTCAGTTTATAAATGGTTACAGGAGTACACATAGCTGTAGGAGTGCATCGACTGTATTGTAGCCTAGTAAATTATCTTAAACAAAAAACAAATAGAGAGAGGAGAGGGGTAGTATGCTATGAGAGCATACCGATATGTATATCAGATTAATGGTCTCGTGGCAAGCGGATGGAGGTGACGAAAAAAAAAAAAATTTTCAAAGCACTAGCAGCATCAGTTTTCGAGTTACTTGCAATTTTCGGGGAATCTGTATTACGCGGTATCCTCCTCCGTGTCATGCTGTGGCTGATGGTAGTAGTTATTGTTAGAAATGTACATATCAGTGTCGAGTTATACACCATTAATACGACATTCACCATATATGTATATATATAAAAATGTATTATACTATGACAACTATATATATATATATATATAGTTTACTCACGAATAATTTTGGTGTGTAGAAAATGGAACAATTAAAACAAAAAATGAATAATCAAGCCAAAGGCATGGAATACATTAAAATGTCTGACCTGGTAGAGAATCATGTCTATCGAATGGTTTCAATGAAAAATTTGACAACGAAAAATGGTGTTGTGGTGGTGGCACGAATACCCGACAACCGACAAGTTTTTGTCCCCAGAATACAGTTGACGGACGATGAAATTAAAACGTACAACGACGGCGACACCAAAATATCACTGTGTTACAGAGGAAAAACAGAAAATGCTTATTCATTTGACTTTCAATAAAATTTCTTTTAATGTATTAACTTTACTTTTCTTTTACAATCAACAAAATCTGTTTATATTTTTTTTCTAATGATTCGTGTACAACAAATTAAATGGAATTAAAATTATATAGTTCGTTCAAAATCTTTGATTGTAATTTTTTTTTTTTAACTTATTTGTTTCGCGTTCAACAGGAAAAACATTGGAGAACGTACGGAAACACCAAAACATACAACTCGTGTGAAACCCGAAGAAACTGTCGAGGTTAGCGGCAAAACCGTCGTTTAGTCACACCACCGTATTCAACAAAAATCTGGTTGCCGTGCACATGTACAAGGAGAAGATTAATTTTTACAAACCCATTTTTATTGGACAGGCCATATTGGATATAAGTAAATGCATAATGTACAAGTTCCATTACGAGGTTATGATGCCGTTGTACGGACCCGAGCGACTCCTACTCTGTTACATGGACACCGATAGTTTCATTTATGGAATTAAAATTATATAGTTCGTTCAAAATCTATTTGTGTTTACATTAACCTAATATTAGTTTATGAAAAAGGTAAATTATACTTTAGATTAATATTATAAGATTAATAGTTTTTCAAATTGGTGGAAAATGTAAAAACAAAAATCACAATAGCAATACTTTAGAGTAGATTTCAAGAAAAACAAAAACTTATGTATTCAAGTTAAATTTTTACACCATTGATAATATAATCCGTTAACAGTCCAGTAGTGTTTACTCCAATAGTAAAAGTACATTGAACTGAATAGTTGATTATAGAGGTGGCCATACACACGTTTAACTAATGTATTAATTTTTCAATAGTTGTATCATGTCATTTGTATGCGGTTGTGGGTCTTCATTTGTCGATAGTACTGGTTTGAATGTTCATTGTAGTATGAATCAGGGTCACCGTCAAACTGTTATTTCAGGGAAACGATGTTTGTCAGCGCCTGCGGGTAGGGTGACCAAACGCGCGTGCATGCACGTTGCAGGGACCGGCTTTGTTCCGATAGAATCTGCACTACGCGGTCGAGTTATACATTATTTTTTGAAAAATGAAACGTCTATTGACGACATTAACGATTTTATTCGATGCGTGAGTGACGATTTAACCACCGTACTGAATGACGTTACCAAACACGGTATAATAAAATTCAACGTTGTGCTGCACACAACGTACATACACCAAGTTATGGGTGAAATGAGAGACGTATCGTTTAAAACGCGTAACAAAACCGTCGATTCAGGTACCGTATATGCCGCCGTTTTTGATGGAATCACGGAGAAGCTTGTGTACGAACAACAGGAAATGGAGACCCGAGGTAGCGGGTGGTCGCTATTATTCATAGACGGACTGCTGTTGAGAGTCACGAAAATTTCACCATTTAGCGGTGGCTCGTACGTTGAAGTTCCACAGTGTATCAAACGAAAATTTGCGGTCATAAACGTAAGAAACGCCGACCAGCAGTGTTTTAAATGGGCGATTTTATGTAAGTACAACAAGAATAAAAAACATAGGGACCAATGGAATGCAGGTTACATTGATCTGGAAAAATCCACAAGTATACGTTTTGATGGCATTGACTTTCCTACACCATTGAAACAAATTATTCGATTTGAACGTAATAACCCGTCAATGTCGATCAATGTGTTTGCGTTGGACGATAAAAATAACGTGTATCCGTTGCGTATCACTAAATCGCGTACGAGCACCGATCATGTTGATTTACTTTACGTTACCGAGCCGGGAAACAGCCACTATTGTTATATATCAAATTTCTCGAGACTCGTGTCAAAACAACGAACCGAGGGCAAACGACACGAGTACTATTGTAAACGTTGTTTAAACGCATTTACCAATCAACCGTTAAAGACTCAACCGAGCGGACAAGCGGGGGTGGATGAGCACATTAAAATGTGTGGAAAGTTCAAGGAAGCGCGAGCCGTCCTTCCCGCACCCGACTCCGACCAGTCGGTACTGCGGTTCAAAAACACAAGGCGAGAGGAGCCGGTTCCAGTGGTTGTGTACGCAGACATGGAGAGTTTGTTGGTTCGTGCCGAGCAACAAGTGTCCAAGTACTGTACGGTTACACAAGATCATCAGGCGATGAGCTACTGTTTCTATGTGGTACGCGATTCTAAGGTGTTGCCGAAAAATATTTGCGATGGACTACCAAACGAACCGGTACTGTACCGGGGACCGGATGCGGCCAAACACTTTATCACGACGTTGGTAACCATTGGTAAACGCATTTCGGACATAATGAAGGTGAACATCGATATGACGGCACTGACACCGGAAGAACAACTACGTTTCGATACAACGAAAAATTGCGAGTTGTGTTCAATTAGGTTCACGGATAAAGTAAAAAAGTAAAAAACTATTGTAATTTTTTATTCTTTTTTTACAGCCATGATGGAACCTATTCCGTTTGGGTATTTTGAGTGGTCGACGGCAACGCTGGAAGAAGTACTGAACACCCCCGACGACGGTGATTACGGATTCTTGGTGGAAATCGATGCACATTATCCTCGTGAATTGCACGATTTACACAATGATTTACCATTTTTTCCGGTAAACGAGCGATCACCGTTGTCGTCTTCGAAACACAGCAAGTTGATGACCACGTTACAACCAAAACGTGGTTATATCGTGCACTACCGCGCACTAAAACTAGCTGTGAAACACGGTGTGATCGTAACAAAACTGCATAAATGTATAAAATTTATGCAATCCCGCTGGTTGGCACCGTACATTCAGTTTAACACGGAATTGCGTAAAAAAGCGACCACCACGTTTGGACAAAACATGGCCAAACTGATGATCAATTCAAACTATGGTAACATATAATTAATTTTCCAAACTTTGATTGTAAT